TTTTTTTTTTTTTTTTTTTTTTTTTTTTTCCTACGAACTTTATATCACGAATCATTTCCATTCGACGAATACGTAAAATTCGCGAAATAAACATTTACACATAAAAAGAATTTGTCGAGTGAAATCGCTATCAAACAATCATGAATATTTTGAAAATCTTGACATATGACAATTTTGTCTCTTTTTTTTTTCTTTTCTTTTCAAAAATAAATTAAGAGTATTATTATATTTATTTAATTAAATATCATGCGATACGTTTCAAAGTGATTTCAATGTTAAAAATCGTTGCTGATATAAAATGATTATTCTCTAAAAAAATTAATGGAAAATATTTTTATGTAAATTTCAGTTCGTGAATATTATCAAAATCAAAGAAATATGAAATAACTATGATATAATAAAAATTCTATACTCACTTTTGTATCTGTAAATTAACGACGGAATTAACTACAAATTGTCTCAACGCTTCGTATATTTCATCCGACTACGAAAATCAAGAGGGCGTTTAACCATTCGTTAAAGCGATGCACATAACCTGTACAAGCATTTAAATGAAAATGCCATAGACGGTGTTTCCGGATAACATAGGGAGCAGTAATACTTAATAAAACAAAATTACATTAAACAAGTAAATTTGATATTAAATGATGATTATAAAATTAAACATAGATACTTACTCGATTTTGATATAATAAAATTTTAACTCAAATATGTACCTGAATGGATATGCATCAATATTAATTAAATAAGAATATATTAAATAAAAAATTAAATTTGTTTAATAGAATAGTATAATTATATTTACATGGTTCGCTATTAAGCATAAAATTGCAATGATTGAAATTAAAAGTGAATTTCAATATAAAATTATATATAATTATTTGTTTAAATCTTATCGTCAAAGAATATCATTCGTAAAGAAACTTGCATTTATAATGTTTTATAAAATCGTCATCTTAGAAATATATTAATATTAATATTAATATTTACATTAAAATATAATATCTATATTTTTTGTATTAAAAATTAAGATACATTACAATTTTGAAAGAGAAATAATGAAAGTATATTCAATTGATATCTCGTATTTTATGATCACGCACTTTATATATTTCGTACTCTGTGATCACGCACCACGATCACGAATAGACAAAGAAATCAAATAGAAGAAAGACAGAAATAGGATAAAAATTAGGAAATTAGCGCCATCTCTTGAGAGTAGATAAACTAATATAAACAAGGAGAAATAGTAGAAAAAGGATAAAGATAGAATAAGAACTAACTATTAACACCATCTCTGCAAAATTATTCAAAACATGATGTTGATTCTCAATTTTTACTCTACCTTATCTTATAATTACAAATATATCACAGACATAAAACAAAATAGACTTTCTATGGAACTTTATGATATATGTTTTAAAATATTAATTTCAAAAAAGTTTTTTATATTTATCATGTTATCATGTCTAGCATAAAATTAAATTATTCAAAAAGTATAAAGTAAACAATGCTTATATATTTCATAATTTTAAGAATTAAAACAAGAATGTTAATAAAATTTCTAAATGAAAAATATAATTGCGGGTAATTCGTATTATTTCTTTAAAAAAATAACATAAAGAATAAACTAATTCATAATCAAAATGGTTGAAAACAATCACAATATTTTTTATATTTTAATACAATACTGTAGTATCACATAGCATTTTATACAACATTAACTCAAATTAAATTAGTAATTTATTGTTACAATATTAATGGAATTGAGATTCATTAATTACAAATAAAAAAAACTGCTAAGAAATTAAATGTACATGATCGATGACAATGATTATAATGTTGTCTATATAGATTTTAAGCACAACATTCATTTCAAATCTATTTCGCGACGATGACTGCGAAATTAAAGAAAATGATGATGAATAATAATAAAATTCGAAAATTCACTTTCTATTTTTCAAATTATTAATATTTTTTTGAATATAACAAGTCAAAACATGTGAAATGTAACACGAATATAAATCATCAATTTGAAAAAATGTTGAATTATAAGAAATATTTTCAACCCTAGAATTCTATAAAATAAAATAAAAATAAATATAGAAATAATATATGAATTAAACTATGGACAGATACATTTAGAAAAAATATATATATGAAAATATATATGTGTGAATTGATTATAATAATTTAACTTCTATTTGTTTATAAATAAAAAATATAGTAACCATTTTTCTATTAAAATAAATAAAATCTTATCATATTTGCATAAAAATCGATTATTTTTTAATTATTATAATATGTACCAAAATTATCAAAGTCGAATGTTACTTTCGAAGTTCCAATCAAAACAATATTATGTTGCAAAGACATTTAATTTCAATAATGATTAAACAAATATATATTATTAGAACAAATTAAATTTATTAATATATAATTAAATTTAATAATCGTAATACAATATTCTATTAATAAAATTAATTAATAAAAATTTTATATAATTACGTATCTTTCAGTAAAATGTAACAAAATAGCACCTGTCACTATAACTTTCAACTGTAAACTGATGATGTGCGTAGTATGATATGTTGATTCGTCTCGCTGTTAAATCTTAGCAACTTTCTGATTGGATAGAACGATACAGTTTTTTATTCATTTCAGCCGCGCGAAAATTGAAATATTATATATTGTATTTTAATTGTAAATTTTTATATATTATAACAAAAAGTTTATCTTAACATATTTATCCTATATTGAAATGCGTTTTATAAAAATATTCCAATTTAAAATTATATAATAAGAATAGATTATTATAATTAATTTAATATAAAAATAATTCAAATTAGAAAAACTGAAACATAAAATTAAATTCATGAAAGAATTTAAAACAAAAAATTAACAAAATAAAAAACTAAAATAAAAACTAAATATAAATAAAAATATTTGTATCCATTGTCCAATGTTATCTAATAATGAGATTTTAAAATATCTTAGTTTAGATCTTAATATTAAAAATCTAAAATTAAAATAAATTATATCTTGAAAATCAATATAATTTAATGACAATATCTTCATCAAAAATAATCTTATTTTACTTTATTTAAAACAAAATAATATAAAATTGAATTTCATTATTTATTTCAATAACTAAATGATTAACATTTCCAAAAACTACAAAAAATAGAAGCTAAAAAAATGAACAAGAAAAAAAAATAAAAAAATAAATGAGAATTAAAGAAAAAATAAAAAAAACATAAGAAAAAAAAATGAATATATCAAAAAAATTATATATTGATTTAAATCATTTGCCAATATTATATATAAGGATTTTGATGAATTGATTTATATATTTGAATATAAATTACTAAATTTTTAAAAAGTCACATAATAATAAATACATATATCATATAATAATAATAAATTTTATATGATTAATAAATTTTAATTCTTTAGAAAAAACTTAATTTCATTTGCAGCATTTTACAAATGATATTTTAATTTTTATTCTATATCTATTATATATTGTTTTCTTTCTTCTGTCTATAATATTCTGAATTCTTTGCACATTCAATATTTCTATTAACAAATTGAAGTTTTAAAGTTTATCTGTAAAATTATAATACATTACATTTTTTATTAATGTAATGTATTAATATATTCCATTAATAACAAGAAAAAGAAGAAATGTAGCCGCAATTTTATGTTTAAAAATATTTGTTTGAGAAATATTATAAATGAATTTATATACAAATCTATATATACATATTTCAAAAAAAAACCTATAAAAGTATTAAGTTAGAAAAAAAGAATTTTTTAGAAAAAGAAAAAAGAAAATAAAAATATATGTAATATATAAAATTACAAAAATATATACAAAAATATATACAAAAATATTATAAATATTTTATATATATTTTTATATGTATAAAATTAATATAAATATATGTAATATATATATTTAATATGTTTGTATAGTTTATACATAAATATTCAGATGCTAAAAATTATATCAGTTGAAGTTTGGTTTCATTTATAATATACAAAATTTTATATATATAAAGTAAAGATGACTAAAAATTATAAATGATTCCTTAATTTCTGTGATAAAAAAAAAACATTACATAAGAAATCTATTCTACATTTCGTCTGTGGTATTAATTTAAAGTGAACTGTTTACATTGCGAAAAAATTATCCTCAGATTAATTTAAATTGTAAATGTACTTTTATGAAATTTACAAAAATATATATTTTAAGAACAGTTAAGAACAATTTCATAAAGTGCATATAGTGATAAATTAGATTAATATTTTTTTTATTTAAAACGATATTTAAACATCAACAAAGCAGACATGAAAGAAGGACACAACGTGTCCAATATAAAAGATGATTATATTCATGAAAATGGAGAGGTAATTTTATAACATTATATATTTTATATAATATTTTAGTATTATTCTTATTGAAAATATTTTCATAGTATTATTGGAAAATACACTTTATGTAAGAGGTTAAGTGCGTGTTCAATAGAAAAATATTTAACCTTTTAACTATATTTGAAATTTTATTTCAATAGTGTGATTTTACACTTTTATAATTTCGTTATATTTTTTAATTCAAAAAATTATATTGTAATTTATATATTATTTATATATAATTTATATATGTATTATATACAATATTTGATATTGTTTGATATAAATAAAAAATAAATCATAATATAATAAAAATATAGTTAAAAAGTAAATATTTATAAAATATTTATATAAAAATATATTTGTACAAATATATAATTTGAATTATAACAGAGCATTTTAGATTAGCATAAGTTTACTTATGTAATTGTAATAGGCTGTAAATACGGTTAATACAGAGGAATCTCCAGCAAAGCAGAAATTGCGTGGATGGCTAAATCGAAATTTAAGAATAAAAATGACAGATGGCCGTATTTTAATAGGTGCATTCTTATGTACTGATCGTGATGCCAATGTGATTTTAGGATCATGTTCAGAATTTCTATCAGAGGACCACACAGAAGCAAGAACTCTTGGTTTAGTAATGATACCTGGTAGACATATTGTAACAATACATCTTGATGCTTGAGCAACTGTGTTTGTTTTGTTTGAAATTAACTATATAGAAGTTCTTTCATTTCTTTCATTTTCTTTCTGAATTATATAATTTTATTTCTGTATTTTTTAAAATTTATATACATAATAATATGAATTATATTTCAAAAAAATGAAATATATAAATAATTTATTTTTAACATATTATTTCTGTTTATTGTATAAAATCTTAAACATAAATTTTAAATTATAAACAAAAAATATTTTACTACATTAAGTTAATTCATTAATTTTTACTTTATCTGCAGACTTGGTATCCGTTTTATTAGCTATAAAAAAAATAAAATAAAATTAAAAAGAATTAACTTATCTATTATCATTAATTCCATTATACTTACAATTTTTAATGCATTCTTTTTGCACATTACAATATTCTTGTTCAAGTACCATAATATGGTTAATTTCTTTTTTTATGTTTCTTAATGCATCATCTATTCTTTGAGTAAGAGTGAAAGATAAATTATCCATTCCAGACAAATAACTTATTTCTGAAACAGCTACTGCCATTTTGTGTACATATTCAATATATCCTGTCAACTTCTACAAAAATATATTAAACATATTTTTTAATAGATCTAATAAAACTAATATAAATTTATTTTATTTTTTCTTACAGTTAAGATTTCTTTTTTACTTTGTACTTTTGATCTCAGTTCAACTATCATATCCCAATGTGTATCATTAACATTTAACTCTAAAGTTTCTCTTGAAAGAGAAATTAATTCGTTTAATAATACCCTAAAAAATATTTTTATATAATTTTGATGATATGATAAAGTTTTATTATCATATATCTATTAAACAGTTCTTCAATTTTTACGAGACATACTTATATTCATTACTTGCTTTCATTATTGCTGTATATGCAACAGTTAGTGATTGCGTTGCACTATTAACAGCATCTATGGTTGATTGTTGAATCATATATTCAGGAGTTAATTTTTTTATATCAATTGGTTCAAATTGTAATTTATCATCTGCTGTTGGTTTGTTAGTTTCTGGCTGATTTATATATGTAGAACTTGTAGCATACTAAACAATAGAAAAAAGTATTTAAAAAGATAAAATATAAAAAAATTTCCAAAATTACTTATTAAATAACATTCAGAATGTTACCAGAATAGGTCCAACTCTTTTCAATAATAATTGAAAAAATTGACGTAACGACATGATTTTTAATAAATAAACGTCCCTAGAAAAAATTAATTTTGGAAGCTAAAAATCGAAATTATTCATTTTTTTAAATAAAATCATTAAAAACGGGGTTAAGTTGCATATTTCATAATTATTCTGAACAACACAAATCAAAGAACGATTAATAAATCACAGAAAATTAATTTTTGATTTACATATTCAATATTGTAAGATATTTTATTTTTATATATCAAAATGCATTAAAAAATGAAGAAGTTAATATACCAAAACAACTTGTATTTACTCGTGAACTTTTTTGTACTATTTTCTCGCGATTGTGGAACGATCTAGCGACACAACACGAAATCAAATGTAGCTTTTAAACTATATGATCCTTTTAAATTATTAGTATATTTCTATAATCACATCTAAAAATTAATAATAAATTTTTATTTCCTTTTTCAAAATATAGTAATAATAATATTGAATAAAATATTTTAGAATTTTTTATTTTAATTGTTATAAATATTAAATAATATAAGTTTATTACATTTACATATATAATATAATGTTTAATCTTAAATTTCACAAAATTTAAAATATCGAATTTTTTTTAATGTATTAAGGAATAAAAATAAAAAAAAATAAATCACATATCAATAATAATTATTTTCATATTATATAAAAATAAATAAATAATTATAAATTATCTTATTAGACATTGCATATAATTGTAGGAAGACTTTGCATATCTATATTTTTTTACAATTATTAAATTTAATATAAAATGTGCTAATAAAATAACATCAATTTTTTTTATTCTTTTGTTCATTAATATCCTACACATTGTTTTATTCGCCCAAAATAATAATTTATATAAATTAGATTCATTTGCATTTAATTAATTTAGAGAAATTTTTAAAAGAAAAAAATTATTTTGTATATAAAATGCAAATTCCATATTAAATGTATAAAAAATGCATTTTTTTTAAACAAACATTATCAGATATGGATTCACCTCACTTAATATAATTCATGACATATCAAATTACATGTATTTAATCATATAATTAAATATGTAATTATAAAAAATTATATTATAAATGCAGTGAGGCGTGTGCATATATCATATGTGTATAAGATGCTGTAAAATTAGGCGTTTTTTATGGCTAGGATTAATTAATCAGGAATGTAAAAAATAGAGACTGTGAAATTTTTTTAAAAAAATAAAAATAAAAATGTGTTTTTTTAGAAAAATTGTTTCATATGTATGCATGTGTAATTATAATGCTTGATGTAAATATAAAAAATCAGCTTTAAGTTATAGCATAGAGCATATCTAAGAATAAAATATGAAAAATATCACAATTAAACATTATATTCATAGTAGATAAATCCGACCAAATAATGATGTATATGTATCATTTGTTAAATAATGATTTCATAATTTATTCATTTAATAAATGTATTTGATAATAATTGTTTAAAACTTTATTCATTATTATTTATTATTCAAATTTACTACTTGGCACTTAAAAAATGATTATTTTTTATATGGTCGGTTTTTTTTTTTTTTATTCTTTTGTATGCAAAACATTATGAAATAATACTCTTATTTTTTTGTATGAAAAATGAATTAAATATTTCTTATTAATTTTATACAAATATATAAAATTGAATAAAATAACATAATATTCAGATTTGCAAAATAATTCATCTAGCCAAAATGACACACAATTTTTCGAATTTGATTTAGATTTCTAAATGCATTCATAAATCTGTCCTATAGCATAACAAATTGTTTAACTTATTATATAAATAACCGAAATACTACCGGTCAATAATAAAAATCACACACTTTTAGATAAATCTTTTTTTAAAGTTCTTGATGTATTTCTTCTTGAGTACTTTTATGAACAATCTTAGGTTCATTATTTTCTGACGAGTCCATTGATTCCGTGGATTTTTCTGAATCTAATGATTTTTCATTTTGTACTTCTGCATTTTTAGGATTTTCATTTTGAAGGTTTTCTGTCTGAGATTCAGGCTTAGAATCTGATTCTGGCCCTTTCTTTGAATTTGTTGTAGTTTCATTTATGTTCTCTGTATGATTTGTAGTAGATTCTTGTTTTGGTCTCCATATTTTTGCTTTATTAATAAGATAATTCACTTCCCTATCAAGTAATGCCATTTTATTTACAATATCACGAACTTTATATTTCACAGGTTCATATAAAGCTGTCTCAGTAAAAGATTTAACAATTGTATCGTAATATTCCTATGAAAATAATTATACTTATATATATATAACAATATAATAATTATTTATAAATATTTTAAATTATAATAAAATAATTTACCTGAGTTTCATTAATTACTTTCTCTAATGTTTCTATTTCAATTTGAGTAAAAATTTCATTAGATAAACTCAAATTGCGCATATTATTTAAAAATGTTGTGCTTGCATTTAACATAGATGTCATGCCTTTTAATGCTTCTGGGCGTTCTCTGTGTTCATAAACACGTTCGTATACATCATTAGTAAGTTTCTGAAGATATGATAATTTTTCTTCATATATTTCAGCAGTTACACTGAATCCATCTTCATATAGCCATTCAGAAATTTCAGAACATGCTTTCAATATACTTTCTGCTTCTTGAGATGTAGCAACAGTAGCATATTCTTCGGATTCTAATTTTTGTTGAGCATCAATTATAAATGTTTCTAAATTATTCAAAGCTGTTTCACGTTTTGTTTTTTCGAAATCATATACATCCAAACGATGCAATCTAAAATGATCATATCATATTTAAGTTAATGATTAATAGAAAATATGTAGAACATATACTACATAAAATTATTATGCAGTTATTTATACTCACTTTGCTTGAGATTCAACAAGTTTATCTCCAGAAAGAATTTTTGATCCTAATTTGATTTCATCAGCTTTAATAGGATCTTTAATTGTTACAATTGTAGCCTTTTTTTCTTTCTCTTTTTCTATCTTTTCAGTTTTATTTATTATTTTATTATCTTCTGTAACTATACTATCATTTTTCTTTTTCATTTTATCTTCTGTCTCCTTTTGTAATTCAGAATATTCAGATTCTTCATGAACTGGTTTTATATCTTCTTTTGATGGTTCTTCTGATTTTCCTTCTTTGTCTTCTAATCCTACATTTTTTAAATATATTTATTTTAATATTTCATTTATATTTACAAAAAAATTAATAAAATAAAATTATATAAAATATAATTATAGTTGTTTTGCGTAATTTTGTAAAAAAAAGTTATAACTGATAAAACTGATTTAAATTTATTTTTAAAATATATTTTATGTTTCTTTTATGTTAAATTTAAAATATTTTACAAATGCTTGCAAAAAATGGTTATACATTTAAAAAAAATTATTCTAATGATTCTAATGATTCATTTTTTCAAGTAAAGTTCTAAATTGCTGAATTCTTATATATTTAACAAAAAAAAAAAACAATTATTATAAAATAAATACTAATAGCAATTATTATAAATTAGTAAATAGTAGCATTTTTTGCAATGCATTCTACGCAAACCTGCAAAAAGTTTACTAATAGTTGAACCAAGTATTGAAAAAGTACTCTCTTCTTCATCAGGAGCTAAACTTGATTTTTCCGATACTAATTCTACATTCACCAAATTCAATATGCCACTTTCATCCATAGCAAAATGTGCTTTAATGCCTTTACTTTCTGCTCCATCTTTAAGATGTTTATCTAAAGCTTCAGTAATACCAGATAAAGTTATTGTAGATAGATTGAAATTACCTATAGCACTAAAATTAAGACACTATAATAAATAAACATAAATATATTTTAAAAAATAATTATTAAATATACATACGCTATTTCATTAAATGGTAAATAATCTAATTCGGCATAATTAATATGAAATTGAAAATTTTCTGTATACTTATTAAATGTAATAATTTTCTTCTGTGGGTAAGGATTCATTTTATTAAATAATGATTTTTTTACCTAAAAATATCATTTTTTGTAATATTCAATTTTGATAAAAAATTTTAAAAAATAGTAAAAAAAAAAGAATAACAATATATATAATATACAAATACATAAAAATAAAATCTTACTTGTTTTATTCTATTATTAACTGTTCTATCAAAAACAATATGAATGGGAAACAATACAGCATCTTTAGTAACAAATTTTTTTACTTTAAATCCTTTACTAAGATCTGCAGCTTTATATACTGCTCCTAATACAGCTGCTTCATCTGTATTAATGTTTTTAGACAATTCAATTGTTAAATATTGACTTAAATGTTCTTGTATCTTTGGCATTCTAGTAGCAGCTCCCACTAATACAACTTGAGATATAGCATCCATTGTTAAACCTATAAAATTTATATTAATTTATGATATAATAAATATATTTTAATTTAATATATTTCAATATACCTGATGTTTTATTTATTAATTTATTTCAATATACCTGATGTTTTTAAAGCAATTTTAATAGGATTTGCTACTCGCTCAAATAAATCAGTACAAAGATGTTCTAATTTTTCTCTGGTAACTTGTAATCTAAAGTCAACTTCATCTATTAATCCTTCAATTTGGGCAAAATGATCTGTATTTGCACTTAATACATTCTTAACACGACCAGCTTCTTTAAAAAGTTTTGCCATTGCTCTTACATTGCTAAATACAGAATTTTTTGTTTTATTTAATGCATCAAATTCCTTTGCTAAATAATGTTGCAATCTAATTTGCACTTCTAATCCTCCTAAAGTACGATCATAACCCACACCCAAAATGGTAACATGTGGATTAGTTTCAATAAATCCCTTTTCCTTTGTTTTCACATTTTGATAACTGACAATTGTTGCAGTTGTACTGCTAGCTCCCATATCATAGAACATTACATAATGTGCGGTATCATTTATTTCTTTACTGCGAAAAATTCCATAATTTAATGCAACTGCAGTGTAATCATTAATAAGTTGTAACACTTTAATTCCTGCAAGATCTGCAGCTTGCATAAGAGCTGTTCTTTCAATTTGATTGAAAAATCCTGGAACAGTTATTACTGCTTCACTTATCTTTTGACCAGCTGAATTTTCTGCAAATTCTTTTCCTTTATGCAAAATTTGTGCAAGTAATTCTTCTGGAGTATATGTAGTATTCTCATCTAGCCTAAATATAATTGTTTTACGTTCTTCATCAGATATAATATCATAATACGGAAATCTTTTTTTATAAAGTTCTACTATAGGATTATCTATATATTTTCCTAAAAGATCTAGAATATAAGAAAAACTATTTTGGGGTGATCTAATTCCCACTACTTGAGCATCTTCTCCAAAACTTCTTTCTCCATTTCTAAATGCAATT